CTCTCTCTCTCTCTCTCTCTCTCTCTCTCTCTCTCTCTCTCTCTCTCCACCTCCATGGAGCTGGTTCTTAGTGACGATATCACAGAAAGATTCTATGTGGAAATTGACATTCAGTCCATTTCATCACGTAGCAAGGACAGAAGCCCTGCTCATGGGCTCCCAGGGCAACTTCTGCCTATAAATTTTGGTTAATGGTGGCGTTTTTCCTTTGATGATTTCTTGGGTATTACATTAAAGGCTTACGATACCTAGTGCTAGGAATGGGCTGACTACTGTGACTAAACAAAACAAGGCAAATTTTCTTTCGTGCTGGATTTAGTTTGTTTGCTTCCTGTCAGATTGTTGCCAATCAGTAATGTCCCAATGTGCCCGTGAGTCTCCTAATAAAAAGGTACTGGACAAATTTACCTGATGAACATCAGGCAAATAGTATACCCAGAGTAATATGCCTCAGGACGTTCTCTGGGAAACCTCTATTTAATGAATGCAACGATAATGGTGATGATGGTGGTGGTGATGGTAATGATGATAGCAATAACAATAATAATAATAATAATAATCATATTCTGAACCAATATATGGCACTAGTTCAACAGATATGGATGCACCTTAGGGTTATGAATTGTAGCTTCATATTTAAATGAAGATTGCTCTATCAATCACAAAACAAACAAACAAACAAAAATACTCAAGGCCTATGTTAGTGTGAGTTTTAAAACCTCTTTGAAGAAAACAAAGGAAATGATTTATTCTAAAGTGAACATTGTGAATATTGATCAAAAAAGAAAAATCATCTAGGCTTTGCATAATTAATATATATATTAATTATGCCAAGCCTAGATGATATATATATATATATATATATTTCAAAAAGTTCTACCCACAAAGAGGGAGGGTCATTTATAATTCTGCAGTATCTGATAGCAACTTCCTCACAAACCAGGAAACTCTGCAAGTATTAAATAAACTGAAGGGAGGAGGAGCCAAAGAAGGAAGTAACTGACCAGCATGAAAAGAGGAACAGTGCTCAGCTGAAGACAGATTGATAAAGAGTGACAGACGACAGACAGAGCTGGCCACTCCCAGGCTTCCTGCGAGTCCAGCTGATTTAAAGTGTTTGTGTGATGGAAAGAGGTAAGAAATGAATTCATGTGTAACCAAGTAGTGATGCTTTGTTACATTAGAAACAACTTGTATGTTGTTGTTGTTCATGATGGTGGTGGTGGTGGTGGTGGTGGTGTGTGTATGTGTGTGTGTGGATGGTTTTGGCTTAGTCATAGCAGGGATAGCAACTTGCAAGTTACTGGTGAGGTTGGCAAACCTAGGACCATGCTACACTAATTAGCCCTTTCCTCGGCTTGCCACGCTACCTGATGGAAATATACTGTCTGCTTTGCAAGGTCTGCTTACAAAGAACCTGTGATTTGAAGACAAATGAATAATTATTGGTCAGCTTGCAGAAACTGTTGCTTTCCCAAGTGAAAAGAGCTTCCAAGCTGGGCAGAGTGAACCTCATTGAGGTATCATACTAGGACGTTTTATTATGATTTGAAATATGTCTTCATCTTTCCGTTTTATATCTCACAGATTTTTCTCCCATACAGTGAGCTTGAAGACAGGGAAAAGATATGTTTCTTTGGCTGTTCTTTTGCTCAGTTAATATTCTTTATGTGATTTTTATATTAAAGGATGTCTGCTCTGCATAGAACTAAGATAAATTCTTTCAGAAACTAAGAGGGAGCCTCTTGCTTCAATGCACCTGCCCAGGAGACAGCAGCCAGTCAAGCAGAAAACCCAATTCCATTCTCTTGGAAGCATAGCTCATTTCTAAAACACTGATTAATTCCACTCGATATTTGAACTTTACTCTGGAAATGCATCCCACATATTCTGGATAACATGTGTGTAATTATTTACGCCATGACATATTAAGACATATCCATTCTCATCTGCCCATAAAGGAAATGAGGCTCTGTTTGTAGAAATCATTAGACAAATGTCTGTATGTGGCCTTTGTGTCATGTCTACCCTTGGAAGAGTGGGAGGACTTCGTAGACTATAGCACTATTACTTTTTTAAGTTAGTATATGCAATAGTGCATATTTTTTTGAAATCGTAATTTTAACTTATTCACACAGGGTTATAAACACAAAAAGGCAGGACATAGGGAAGGGGATGACACTGGAGCGTGGGTGTTCAAGGGGAGTACAGATATCTTTCAGAACAGGGTATCGTCTGGTTGAAGGTTCAGGGGACAGGTCGCTATGACTCTGCCTATGATTCATTTGTCCTTATCTAAGTTGGTATTATCTACAAATGCTACCTATTTACAAGGTCTATGACTACTCAGGCTGATAAATTTCCACAAAAGCTGCCTGTTTACATTAGCTTTATAGCCATCTCTTTCAATGTTTTTCCACAGAGACCCAAGACTTGGTGTTAGTATACATGTATGACAGGCCTATTGCTGATTTTAGGCCTATGGCTGATTTTACAATAGTGCATTTTAATATGACTTTTCATACCCATATCATTGCATCTTGCTCATACTTGCTTACTCTTACTGACTACCACCATTCTGCATGCTACCTTTCTCATTTCAACTGTAGACAATAAAATGTGTTGGTTTTGACATAGGGTGTCATTCTGTATCCCATCTAGCCTCAGCTTCCCTGTGCCAGGGTTACACAGGCACAAGCCACCATGAACAGCTCAGATTGTCAATATTCCATGGTGAATAAATAATTCTATGCTCAGTCCCAGTGTACCCCACCCCAGGACTCCAAGGAACTTGAGCGATATCTGTATTGGGAGTGTTTGACCCTAAATAGTTATCAAAGAGAGGTTATTATACACAAACTGCGTGTCGTGCTTCATTTGTTTCTATAAGATGCAAGATTGAATATTTGTAGCTTGATATAATCTGACCTTGAACAGATTTCTAAGAAGTTGACATTAGAAATGTGCCCTCACTGAGGGCAGGGGAGTGCTCTGTGGGTTTTTCCTTCTCCTTTCACCGTAGTGAGACTAGAAATGGATCCCTCCGTCTATTAGCAGATATTTAGTGTATTAGCTTTCCTGTGCTTAGTACTAGTGCTGGTGTCTAGGAGATAAGTACAGCTAACTAGTTGTTAGTGAGTTGTTATCTCGAATCCTCCATTTTATCTTCTGTAAGGTGAGAATACCAGTAGTACCTCACACGAGAGCTGTAGGGTTAAGTGTGACAATCCACATGAAAGTGTTTGAAAGCAAATTTAAGATACGCCCCTAATTAAATATTATTGACAGTGACACTCAGTAGACAGTAGTAAAGAATACTATAGTCACTATTGAATATATTGGCTGTCACTATTCCTGAGTCTCACTTGAAACGTATAGTAAGAATGCTTTGTGGCTATAATCGCAGTAGAAAATTCTGTCTGATGGATTACTTTGCGTTTCTCTCCTTGCTACTTTAAAGTTTCAAGGGAAGACTTCAAACATCACCTTAATTAAGTGTAAACCATTTGCTACATTTGTGATTAAAAATTTTTACAAAGATATTTTGCTTCACTTAAAAAAAAAAATCTCCCAAGACTTCGGAATAATCGACACACCCTTTAAAATCTGTCCTCTTCAAGTGTCAGTTAAAAGTAGTTAGTTGCTGTATTTGGAAGTCACTTAAAAATGCCCTCTTGTATTCAGATAAATACTGACTGGGTTCATTTTCTGTGTTAGGTGTTCTGATTCACTCTAAGAATGTAAAGATGGAAAGAGCTGAGCCCTACTCCCCTTTAGACCAGGTAGGAGGAAAGAATTTCCTTGCATTTACGGTACCATCCTCTGCTAGAGAATGGGCTAACTAACTTTAAGGCTCTAGAGGGAGGAGTGACTTGGGAGTTGACACAGCCTCTGTCCACTCCAAAGGAGGATGGCAAGGCTTCACAGAGAGGCAGGAAGCAATGGACAGGGCATACTTGGATAGTTTTATCGTGTTTCTCCTATGCTGGAAGAACCTTACGTTTCGTTTGAAAATCATCAACCAATACAAGCAACTACACTTGGGCAGAGGTATATTTTTCACTCTTGTTTCAAAACAGCTCGTGTTCTACTCATTATTAAAAGCAAGAACTGACAATACAGGGATGTCTAACACATTTGGTAGATGTGATAAATTTAAAATCTCATGAGGTACTAAGAATACAGCTAATATATTTTTAATTTATAGCAGGTTTCTGGACGGCACCTCCGTTTTCTTGAGGTTTCTGCTGTGCTGTTATTCTCTGCTCACCTCGGCTTCACTTTGTGATGCACCAAGGGAAACAGAAGTGGAGAGGATTAAAATTCCTCCAATTCAGTTCTAGCATCCAAGGATGGTGATCCAGTAAACGTCACCATCAGAGACTGAATTGGTTCACTCTCAGGTCTAGTTGCATCGGGATTTGGCCAGTAATGTCCTTTGAGATCTGGAAAAGAAATGCCTAAAGGAAGCCTTCCAGCTTGGCTTTGAACCTCAACCATAACAGGCAACCAGAAACTGCCTCTGCTTGTGCCTGTGAATTGATTAACCGCACCAGGCGGCTGAACAGCACTGTGCTGAAATGCTGAAAAGCTTTGTGAGTTCTCCGGTGGGTGTGGCTGTCGGCGTTTCCCTACTAGTACTCTTGCTGGTCTGTGGGGTTGGATGTGCTTGGCACTGGAATCGCAGGGAAACCACAGCACTGCAACTTACCTTACCGAAGTTTATACAAAGAAGAAGCAGCAGGCATAAAGACTACACGAAATCCGTCGGCTTGAGTGCCTACGTGACTAGCCCAAGCACTAAAACCTCAGTGGAAAGCAAAGACCACAAATCTACTGCCAAGAGAAATAAGATGCACGGCAACTATGAAAACGTGGAAGTGGGCCCTCCCCGCACTGAAGGGGCAACTGAGAAGGCCCTGTACGAAAACACGCAGCCGTCTAATCTCGAGGAGCATGTCTATGGGAATCAAATGGACCCCCTATATTATAACTTTCAGAAACCTAGTCTTCCTCCTCCTCAAGATGAAGACATATACATCCTTCCAGATTGCGACTAGCTTTTCAACAAACTGAGACTCGTTGTTAGAGGAAAAATGATCACCAGTCCTCTAAGTGGACTGATGCCATCATGATTAAACTATCCTGATGAAATGGTCTCTTTTCTATCACCACCCGTATAAATCCCCACTAAGAGAACCATTGTAGAAAAGTTCTAGAACGCCCCCCCCAACACATGTGCCCTACCTTCAATTAAATCTGTGCTGTATTATATTCATTTTTCTTTTGAAATGTTTCCTGTAACAGCTTTCCTTCGTCCCTTCCTCTACCATCTTTTGACGTCAGCATTACTACAGTCTTCTAGCAGGTCGTCCTTTTCCTGTGCTGAGGGGCTAACCCAAGGTCTTTGACATGCCAGGTAAGTGCTCAACCACTGAGCCACATCTCTAGCCTGGTCTTCTGAGTTACATCCAATCAATGGCCTATGACACAGCAGGTTGATCTTCAGAAAATATTCTAGGTGCTCACATCATTATTTTGCCAAAAAAAATAATAATTTTTATGTTGTTTGCAAAAGTATAAAGCTCAAAACCCTAACTCCAAAATTCATGACTTTTTCAGTTATACCTTCCTTTTCCAGTTATTTCCCCTCACCCCTCAGTTCTTTGCTTGCATCTGAGTCATCTTGAAGCTGCCAATCCCCTCTCTCAACTCCACTGTGTGACTTGTCTGCCTCTCAAGTCTGCCTCAGGTCATAATTTCTTCCAGCATCCCCCATTTCAAACCTATGTTTCCTTTTTTAGACCTTGTTGCCTGTTTAATTCTTTGAACATTTAAAGATATGAATGTTTGCTATGTATTTTATTATTAATGTAATATGAGGATGTCTTCAGTAGCAGTTAAACAGAAAAGTGAAGTGGTTCCTAGTAATATTCTTAGATCCAAAGACATCGTATGAAGAACTAAAAGCTTGGTTATTTGAAAAAAAATATGAATCTTAGTTTGTCAAGTAGTTTTGAGAAAAACTAATAAATTTACTAATTCTAAATCTATCTCATAAATTTTGTTGAATGTCTTCTAACTGTGTGTGTGTGTGTGTGTGTTATTGCACTGGGAAGTTGGGAGATGAGGAAAGGAAGTATAAGCAAGCAAGGAAAGAAAGAGATAGAGGGGGAGGGAGAGACAGAGGAGGGAGGAAAGGAGGGAGAGACAAGAAAGGAGACAAATCGTTAATATATACTTTCTACACACAAAGCAAGGATAATAGATACATACTAAGTTTATTATGAGTCTCTAAACACTGCCTTTTATAGGATGCTCTGAACTACTTGGCCAGGTACCCAGCTGACTGCTACTTTTGCCAGGTAAATCTTTACTGAACTTTGCTGATAGGAAGTTTTCATCGAACAGAAGTCTGAAAAAAAATTTTTTTCTTGTCCTATTTGCAGAACAAAATGCAAGCATGTGATTGACTCCAGCGAACTGTTGGCAGTTTCTAATTTCTCCTAGTCTTAGCCTTCCATTAGAGGTTCCTTAGGGGACCTCTGCTAGGGGGTTCCTTAGAATCAGAGGACTAGCTTTCCGATCCCCCCAGAGTATCATCAGGAGACAAGAGCCATTCTGAGTTCTAGGGACCAGCTGTGCCAGACTCTGAAATTCAGATCTTAGTTCCAAGTTTATAAATATCTGCAGTTGCTATCTTTATGTTCTGAGGCATATGATGTCCCATCAAGTTATCTGTCCCCATATAAGTGTGAGTCAGTTTGTGTGTGTGTGTGTGTGTGTGTGTGTGTGTGTGTTGTATGCGTATGAGTGAGTGTATATGTATGTGCATGCACATGTGTGTATGTGTATGTGTGTGTACATGTGCAGATGTATATGCTTGTGTGTGTATATGCATTTTTTTATGTGAGCATGTGTCTATCTGTGTGAGAGGGTGTGTGTGTGAGAGAGAGCAGTACCTGTTCGATTATGTATATTACATTCTCTCTGTTAGACTGAAAAACATTCCTTCCCCAGTTAGACCCCACTATCATGATTCCATGAGAGATAAAGATAATAAAGTTGTTTACATCTATATAGGATAACATTTTACAATTATCTTTTTACTATTAGAAGATACAATTACCTGCTACAATAAAAGAGAAAAGAAGTTGGGGCAGAGAAGAAGAGATAGCTGCAGCAAATTCACCGAGTGTGATTTAGCTGTGGGCTTACAACACATGAAGGTGTGCTGACATCCTGTGACTTACAGCAATCATGAATTAAAGTCTGCTTCCAGCATCTAGCAACAGCAAACATTTCTATGGCTTATAGACTTTTCTCTCTGCTTTTTATCTTACTTTCTAACTTATTATTGATCCCTACAATAAGGAAAGCCTTGCTTATGCCACCATTAGCATTGGATTACAGCCTCTGCTTACTGCTTAGGCTAGAGAGGAAGGGCAAGGACAACTAGGCACTTAAGTCAAGGTGACAGTTGAGATACTGGGTTCTTTGCAAAATAGGTAAGAGAAAGAAACCAAGTAGAAGGAGATGATTTTTATTGACATTGTAATGGCCCAGAGCAGTAGTTCTCAACCTTCCTAAAGTTGTAATCATCTGATACAGTTTCTTATGTTGTAGTGTCCCCAACCATAAAATTATTCATGGCTACTTTGTAACAGTAATTTTGCTACTGTTATGAATCATAATGTAAACATCTGTATTTTCTCATGGCCTTAAGTGACCTGGTGAAAGTGTAATTCAACCACCAAAGGGGTTGCAACCCACAGGTTGTACTTCCTTTAAATTCTTATGCTGAAACTGTATCTCCAACATCATGAAGTTCGGATGCGGGCCTTTTGGGCCATGATTAACTTCAGATGTGGTTAGATGAGAAAGGAGCACCCCTGGTTAGAACAGTGCCTTTACAAGAAAAGACTAGAGAGCTGCTGACTTGGCTTAGCAGCACAGTGCTTGCCTGGTATATGTGAAACCTCATGTTCAGTCCAGTATGGATGTAGATGGACGAACAAGGAAGTAGAGAAAGAAGGATGAGGAAGATGATAAGAGAAGAATGGAGGAGAATCTTCTCCCTCTTTCCCCATAACTCTTCTCTTTATTATGAGAATATCAGGAGGTAGAGAGCCCTTATCAGTACTAGCGCTTTGATACTGAATGTCTTAGCCTCCACAACTGTGAGAAACACATAGATGTTTTAGCCCTCCATTCTGTGACATTTTGTTATAACTACATAAGCAGACACTTTGGAGACATCTATACCATGACACTTAGGCTTTTTTCTTTTTTCTTTTTAATTCAGTGCATAGGTTGAACATCTATTTTTAAGTGCATATTTTAGCCTAAGGTCTGAGGGCATTGTACGTTTGATCTTTGTGCTTCTCTTCCAGGATTTCTTTAAAACGTCTCACAACCATTCTAATTGGCTCTTTATGAGTTTTTCTTTGTTTCGGGTCCTTTATATAAACATGGGCATTGAAACGGACACTCTCCTGCTCCAGGTTCTTTCTAAATCATTTGACCAAGATAGGTAACCTTTTGTTTCTAGTTGGTGCTTTTCAAACATCTGATACTCAATAGGATTCAAACTAGTGGGTTAAGGGTAAGTATTTGGAGATCACTCAGAGATAGGTATGGATGTACTTGGGATGAAAGACCCAGAGAGGAAAGGAAGGTATCCACCACCCTGGTTACTTGCTAATGACTTAAAAATCTGACAGTCAAAAGTGTTTCAATGTCAAACACCTGTAACATATCATGACAGGAATGTATCATCTGCTCAGTCTCCCTGTCTTCAGCAGCAATGTCTGACTCAAGGGGAAAAAAACCCTTTGGCTCAGTAATCCCCAGACATGAACCCAGAAAACTTCACAGTGTGTCTATTGTTTTTGTTGCCTCTGAGTGAAGAGGTCTGAAATATATGACAGTGGCATGATAAAGAGATAGAGTCAAAGCAGATTAGGCACCTAGCTAAAGAACTTGTTTGAAAACGATGTCTGGCATGACCCTGTGGTTTCCTTCTCTTCATTCAACATTTCAATTTACAACATCCTTAACCCCCCCCTTAGAATAGCTACATTGAACTAGGCTTAAAAGTCAATCATGCAGAATAAATGGTTTTCAAAGAACTGTATCAGGAACTTAAGAATTTGTGAATATACAGTGAGTGGTTATTAAGTTATGCTTTCTTGAAAGACAGGATGACAGTAGATTATATCTTAGTTGTAATTATATTTTGAACCAAGGGCCCTTTGTATTCCTCCATTGGATGGCCATGAAGATACTGGATATCAAAGTCATGAATATTTTAAATGACTTTAATGACCAAATAGAATGAAGAAATTTTAAATCATACAGTAAATATCAATCAAGTGTCTAAGCCCTGAAAGCGTTCTTTGCATCAATAGTAGAGTAGAGAAGGATAGGAAAACATAATGTCTCAGCAGTCACATGGCTCACAAATGACAAAGGCAGTCCATAACAAAGCTATTAAATGGTCTCATGATAATAGTCTGATAGAAAAGCACATGGTGTAATGGGAGAGTGGAGCCAGGCTTAGGCTAGGAAAGCTGGCCTCTAGACAGACCAGGACAAGTAAGAGATAAGTTCACAGAGGCTGAGGAAGTGATGTCAGTGGAAGCCTCCTTCCTGAGCTAGCTCTTATCGTGTCAGAAGGTGCTATAAGCCTGCTAAGGCAAGATATCACCAATAGTGCAATAGAGGTACTTGTATCTTTGGAGCAAACAACAGCTGTCTAATTAGATACAATACTCACTCAATTAGAGGGAGTCTGTACCTAGTAGTAAAATTCAAGCCTCATCCTGTGGTTGAAGATGTCATAGACCCTAGAAAAGTATGTACTTCCACACACACATCATATTTCTACAGTAATATGGTTTCCATCTGCCTTCTAAAATATTCATCTTTGTATCCATAGACAAATTCAGTTCTCACATCTCATCAAAGATGCTTCCTTTTGTAGCAGGAAGGGACTATTAAAACCATAACTGGCCAAACCGCAGAAAGTAGGTGACCATGGGGTTCTCAAGCCCAAATGGAAGATCTGTAACACAATCCTTACATTTAAAGCTCAGGGAAAAGCTTGGAAGGAGGAGGTGGGGCAGAAAAAAATGTAACAGCCTGAGGATCATCACGGCTGTTACATCAAAGGTTCTTTTAGACAGGACAGGGATGCTGTTCCCAGGAACTCTCAACGTTATGATTCTCTGCAAAAGACCTGGAAAGACCACAATGGACACACCAGCGTGGATGCAAGGAAATTCCACAAGATTCCACACTTAAATCAAGCACTACAGGCAGTCTGTGGCTGCTCACAGAGGCTAACTTTTTTCTATTTTTTTCTTTTTCTTTTTTCCAAGAGATGAGACCTTAATCCTAAGAAGTCAACCTTAAAAACATGCAAAGAAGAGCAACACTAACTAGACTCAGTAATACAGACAGATATATAGATAGATAGAAAAATGGATGGATGGATGGATGAGTGGATGAATGGATGAGTGGATAGATAAAACACACAGATAGACAATAGATAGATGATAGATGGATGGATAGATGGTACATAGATGATAGAAAGATATCCCCAAAATAAATATAGAAGAAGAAGTCATATATTCAAATGAAGGTTGTTGGGGCCACATGGGAGGACTTAGAGAGAGAAAGGATGTACATACTTACATTTGAAATTCTCAAATTAAAATAAACAATAAAACAGAATAAGAGAGGTCAGCATATGCAGTCCTGGAGCAGAAGATGTCTAAAGAATCTGAAGGAAACAGAGCAGCGCCGTGCACTGTGAAAGGGAGGGGCAAGAGGGGACAAAGCAAAGGCCACATGTAAGACTGTCTGATAACTCACAGATTGTAACCTAACACATCTGTTACCTTTGTTGTTAAAAATGCAATGTTGGAGGCAGAAGTGACACAGGTTTAAAATTTCTTTTAAAACAATTAAATAAATAAATGAATAAATAAATAAATGCATATGGTATTGCAAACAAAAATGTCTAAGCTTTAGTACGGTATGAAAGACT